ATCTTAGTACAAAATTTCAAACCTAGTTAAGGATACGAGATGTTCTAGTTTTAGGGAAATGCGAAGATTAGCTCAGGATAAAGAAAAATGAATATATTTTCAGTCATATCTTAGCTTAATATAATCAATTATTTGAGGTAGGTAAATAAAACAATTAGATACTAGGTAAATACACATTTTGCCATTTCTTAAAATATTATTGCATTTCCAGTTTAGAAGGTGCTAAAAATGAATTCTTTTATTCTTTTGATTTAAAAAAAAAACATTTTTTATATACAGTTTTTATAAAATTTATAGTTTTCCAGACTGATAACAGATTATGTTAGTATTTTGTTTACATAAAATATAAAAAAATATAAAAGCTCATACATAGTTAGTTCGTTATTAAGGGATGAACTGTATAACGGCGACAGTGTTAATAATGACGATAAAAATGTTAGATACCAGTGGCGTGGACGGAAAAAGAGACGACAGGATAATACAAACGTAAAAATTTTGTTGACACGTTCAATCTTAACAAATATGAAATAAAGGAGAAAAACCAACCAAATCGCCTTAATATAGTACATATGTGCACGTCTTAATCTTAATACTAAAATTAAGCAAATAAATAATTTTTCCAGCGTTTTCCATAGATACAATTTTTATAATTTGTGAGACTATTTTTCGTTGTAGCTGCTCAACAAATGTGGCAATAAAAATACGTATTGATAATGTAAAAATGAGAACTAATAACATTCAAAATTAAGGTAAAAGTTGAATCACACCATGAAAGCAGAGGAAGCCATTAAAAAAGCAATAATAAAATTGTCTATTTCATAATCAACCCCAGATTGTATTATCACTTTTGTTATCTCCTTGACAAGTGATTTTCATAAGTGAATTGTAAATAATTGACCGAAACAAAATAAATATTCACTTGCTAGTTAATATTAAAACGTCTAACTGTATATGCTACCTGTGCCTATACAAATACACGTGTGTTCTATAAACAATATTTTTTTTATGGAAATAGTACACCTATGTAAACAAGATAGTTGTTTTAATTAAATCTCAAAGTTTGCTTTACCATCCAGTTGTTCCTAAATGTCAATTTGCAAGACATTGATTTCAGTAATTTCTTATCAAAATACACATGTAAATCAGTAGGCTGTTCTCATGCTCGTTGTAAAAATTAATTGCTGTAATACGTATACAATTTATCACCATTAGCAAATTATTGTAAAATTAATTCACTATTGCCAATTGATATTTAATTATTATTTGAAATAGAAGGTTTCCGAGATTTTTTAATTGTATAAAGTATGATGAGATAAAAATTAAAAGAGAAAACGGTAACGCTGCTACTTTATAAATTTATTTACTTGTTCAAATATATATTTTAATTACCAAATGTGATCTTCAGTTGTATATAATTCTTAAATTTGGAAACAGATATGTCCACGTAATAAACAGTGAATTAGAAGCAACTAAACCGTTAGAAAAAAATAAAACTCTGTTTTACTTTCGCTGTCTTTCTTTATATAAATAACTTCTGTTGATGATGATTCAATAATAACTAATAGTTGAACTGCACCAGAAGTTGTTTTTGCAACAATCAGGGAAGCAACGAGAGTTTGAGGGAAGAGAGAGTATAATTTGGGTTTTATTCGATTACTAGCTGACCCGGTGAACTTCGTATCACCTACAATTTACCTTAATAAAAAACACATGCATTTATTCAATTTAAAGCTTTCTGATATACTACGTTTTTAGTTTTGTTTTCCGGTGCATAAATATATAAAGATGATGGCTTTCCTTTACGTGAACGCGCGACATATAGTTGTAATGTAAATTCCACAAACTTCCAATGATTGTCTTTGTGATTTGTTTATGGTCATCCTAAGGGTCAGACGCACGGGGAATTGTAACTGCTTAAAATTGAATAGCAAGTACGTTGGGATCATCGGTATACGCAGAATCAAAACATCCTCTCCTTTGTAGTTTTGCCTATTTTTAATTGCAAATTGTGAGGTGGTAGTTCAGACAATTCGAAGTTAACGACATCGTCCTGGTTGATAACTATGTCGACTGATTTAAAGGAAAACAACTGACCCGGAGTGAAATTTTGAATGGTCGCGTTGAGATCATCGACATCTTTGTTTTTCGCCGCCGATATAGCTTGTTCGCTCAGCCAATTGTGGTTTTTGTACTGTTGCACTACGTCTGGAAAAACACGCTGAATGAGTTTCATTTTCGATTTTCTCAACTGACAGAAATCTGTGGGTAATACAATGAATACGGTCAAGGTGACAACTGCGACTTTTCCATTACCAATGTCTTTACCATTTTTTAATTTTTCAATTTTTCAGCTGTACTTTTTTAAACTACGCTTGTATTATAGCGAACAAAATAAAAAAATATTCAAATTAAAAAAATTGTTAATGGAAAGAGGATGGACAATTAAGCACTACAGATGGAAACTGGGAATAAATGGAAATGTATGGAAAGAGCTGGAATGTTTAAGACATTGATAAGCAAAAAACGAAAAAAAAAAATAGAAACCTGAAACTTGAAAGGGATTTTGTAATAAATTTAGTTTTTATTTGTTTTAATTGTTTATTGGTGCACTAAAACCACTTGAGCATTTTAATATTTTGTTTATTTTCTTTACCACTACACTTTCCTCCAATATGGAAAACCCCTGAGTTAGTACATTCTACAAAACTATTTTCCGACTATTCTTACTCTTCAAACTCTCTTCTTCTTCTTCCTAGTCTTTTTACATCTATATGTACATGTAAACTCGAATAAGTGCCTTTACGGTTATTGCCACATTGGCCCAGTTTTACCTGATGAGTCAGTATTCACGCTTTCAGTCACTTACCTTATACCCAGTTTCTAGTACTTACTACTTATTGTAAAAAATATTTTTTTATAAAACTAAGTAATTCAATATACTACAATTTGAAAGACGAAAGAGCCAGTGTGAAAAAACGAATTAGTTTTAACAGCAAGATTTAAATTGGCAAATGAGAATAAGACGGCAAAGTACTGGGAAGAAGAAGAAGTGAAGAAAATAAATTGGAATCTAAAAGGCTCGAACATATCTTTGAGATGTAGAATAACAAGAAATGAACCAAAAAAATAGGCGTTCACCACGCCGTTTGTAGTACGTCTCGAGGCAGTAAGTAGAGTTGGTCGGTGTTCTGTCGAAACTATATCTGCGACGCGCTGATGAGATCCAACAAGATCAAAATCGCGATCCGCACCTGGCGGTTTCGACAGAACGCTTGATCAATATGAACTTTTTATTTTTTGAAAAAATAGGAAATTCAAATGGAAAGAGAGAATGGACTAAAAAGGATAAGAGAAATATTATAGAGGAGGAAAATAGCAGAAAAGCAAGAAGAATAAAAATGTTTAGTTCGCAAAATTTATGTTTCTGTAGATATAGAGTACCTAAATGTAAATACACCATAAAAAATAATGTTTTCAATAAAGATATCTATCTATCTATCTATTAATGACTATTTTTCATTAGAAATTACAAATTAATTAAAATGATCTTGGGATATTTTCTTTGTATACCAAATTGCAAGATTCTAGGTCAACAGAAAAGACTCAGCGGAAAGATGGACAACAAAAAGGTCCCATAAAATTGCGTTCCATTTTTTTATTACGAGGTACAGAATTCTAAGAAGCTTTGGTTGTAGTTTACAGAATGAGAAACGTTTGTAACTTTTACGTGATAAGGACAAACGAATTTTCTTTATGATAAAGTTTGCGAATTGTATTTCAGATGGCGCTTTGAAAGCTTACTATTATCGATTAAAAAGCTCCGAAAGCTCTCACAGTAAATACACGTAGTTTGTCAGGATAAAACAAATATACCTAATTATTTGAAAAGCGGAAACTCCTGAATAAGAAGGGCTCATTAAAAATGGCTCCTGGACCCGAAGCATATTCTGGTCTTGAACCCAATATCAAAAAGCCCAACGTTCTTCATGTCCATCTGATAACAAATTTGTCGTGGCCGGATGAAGATAAATTTATAAATTATACCATTCCTCCAGGTATGTTTAATAAAACATTTTATTTTAAATGAGACAAAATGTTAGATTATCATTTTTGTAACAATGACGGTTACTCGTTTTCTCTAAAATTTTAAACTAAAAATTAGGTAATTCATTCATTCATTTTTTTCGCACATTTGTTTGTTTAGTACTGTAGTATCTAAAATTGAACTTTATATACCTTATAAGATCATTATTTGAAAAGTTTCCAAAGCTCTCGTTTACTATTCGAAACGCCTCAGAGGAATTGGAAAAAAAATAATAAATTGTTGTTTAGATAAGCGTAAAACGTATTTTTAACTGTAACAAATGGAAGGCAACGGCAAAAGAAACCTTTTTACATTTTTATTCGAGATTTTAATTAGTATAATTAATTATTTCGCTAATTGTGTTCAAGGTAGTGTTAAAGAATGTGAAAAAAAAAACCAATGGAAAACAAAATATTGAATTTCCACATGCTTTCATTATAATATTGATTAGACATATTTTGATTTTATGTTAGAGCTTATAGACGTTAAAACGTTAAAGTCTTATAAAATATTTTTAATATCATAAATAAGTTTTATAACAACAGGTCTCATACATAAACCTACCTAATTTGAGTTCGAAACTTTGGGAATTATTTGGATGAAATAAAGTGAAAGATCTTAACCGTTGTACGCCTATACTTTCGATATACAGTCACACTTAATTTAATCATCCTAGAGTTAGAGAAAAGTTTTGTTTGCCGATTATTACTGTTGTTAAGCCCTCAAGATACATATAAGTAGATACTTTGTCCTACTGTAGCCGTATGATCCTAATCTAACCGTGTTTTTTGCTGTTTTTCACTATACTTGTAATATTGAGTGTCGCAGTGAAAATTTATGATGATAACAGTTCTCCTTTCGAGTTAGAAAAGTGGAGAAATTTAAATTGAAAGAGTTTGTCTTGTATAGGGTCAATTGAAAAGTCCCCGGTCTGACACATAGATGGCGGCACCAGAACTAAATCCATATGATTTTCAGTTAATCCTAACCTTCAAAAGACGCGTCTATAAATTTGACGGCTGTCGGATCATTAGTTTGTGAATTATAGCATTTTTAGTGAAGCAACTTTTGTTATTGTGAAAAAAATGGATAAAAAGGAATTTCGCGTGTTGATAAAATATTGCTTTTTGAAGGGAAAAAATACAGTTGAAGCAAAAACTTGGCTTGATAACGAATTTCCGGACACTGCCCCAGGAAAATCAACCATCAAGGATTGGTATGCTAAGTTTAGACGTGGTGAAATGAGCACCGAAGACGGTGAACGCAGTGGACGCCCAAAAGAGGCTGTTACGGACGAAAACATTAAAAAAATCCACAAAATGATTTTGAATGACCGTAAATTGAAATTGAATGAAATAGCAGACACTCTACAGATATCAACGGAACGTATACATCACATCATTCACGAATATTTGGGTATGAGAAAGCTCTGTGCAAAGTGGGTGCCGCGCGAGCTCACTTTTGACCAAAAACAACGACGAGTTGATGATTCAGAGCAGTGTTTGAAGATGATCACGCGTAATAAACCCGAGTTTTTGCGTCGATATGTGACAATGGATGAAACATGGCTCCATCATTTCACTCCGAAGTCCAATCGACAGTCATCGGAGTGGACTGCACACGATGAACCCGCTCCAAAGCGTGCAAAAACGCAACAGTCGGCTGGCAAGGTTATGGCGTCTGTATTTTGGGATGCGCGTGGAATAATTTTCATTGACTACCTTGAAAAAGGAAGGACCATCAACAGCGACTATTACATAGCGTTATTGGACCGTTTGAAGGACGAAATCGCCGAGAAACGACCGCATTTGCAGAAAAAGAAAGTCCTGCTTCACCAAGACAATGCACCGTCTCACAAGTCAGTGAAAACGATGGCAAAAATTCATGAATTGGGCTTCGAATTGCTTCCGCATCCACCGTATTCTCCAGATCTGGCCCCCAGCGACTACTTCCTGTTCTCAGATCTCAAAAGAATGCTCGTTGGGAAAAAATTTTCGTCGAATGAAGAGGTGATCGCCGAAACTGAGGCCTATTTTGAAGCAAAGGACAAATCGTACTACAAAAATGGTATCGAAAAGTTGGAGGATCGCTATAATCAGTGTATCACCCTTGAAGGGAATTATGTTGAATAAAAAAAACGAATTTTGTAAAAAAAAATGTGTTTTACTATTTTAGGCCGGGGACTTTTCAATTGACCTGTTATGTCAAGGGAATAAAAAAATATTTGAGCTAGATAAAATTTCATGTTATAGAGGTTAGAGTTATACAAGTTCGATTCTATAATAGAACAGTGGGTCTTAACCTTTTGGTGATGAAGGACTTTTTCATAAAATTTTTGTCTTACCATGGACCATAGTACCAAGTTAAAGTAAATAGATAATTTCCTATTCTGAGCTAATTTTTGAATTTCCCTAAAACTAGAGCAACCCACATCTTTAACTATCTTTTTTTTTAATTTAACCATTCGCGACCGTAGAAGTGACTTCTTTTTATTGAAGGTGAATGGACCCTGCGCTACCATCTGCTTTATATCCCTATTACTCCTTCCGCCCTGACTTATCTGACTCCTTAGATAGCTAATATTAGCTACTTCTTCTAATCTTTCATCTCCTATCTTTACATTCGCTCTTTCCCTACTTTTTTTCCCTTGTATACCAGTATTTTTGTTTTACTTTTATTTATTTTCGAACAATACTGTTTTGTCAATACCGCTTTCATTTTATTGAAAGCTATTTCTAACTCCTCCTTGCTAAATGCTAATGCTGTTGTATCACCTGCAAATCGAAGCATACTAATCTCTTGCTACTGTATATCTATCCCTACAGTTGTACTGTCTTTAGTGATGTTGATCGCGTTTTCGATGTGTAGGTTAAAATGTAGCAATGACAGTGTGCATCCCTGTTTGACTCCCTTCCTAATATTTACTTCTCTACGATGCATCCCTAGCTATAACTGCCTGTTGCTCTTTATACAAACTCAGTATCACTCTTCTATCTCTGTAACTCATCCCTACATTTAAAATATTCAAAAGCTTTTTCTAAATCTACAAATCTTCTGTACGCACTCTTTCCTTTTTCTATCGTTTTCTCTATTGTTACCCGTAAAGCTAGAACGGCCTCTCGTGTTCCTCTACTTCTATTAAACCCAAATTGATCTTCGCCTAACAGTTCTTCCATCCTCCTCTGTACAATTCTAGTTAAGAATTTTGACGCATAGTAAGTTAAGCAAATTGTTCTAAATGGTTCGCACTTATCCGCACCTCTCTGTTTAGGTATGGTTATATTACCACGTTCCCCCGTCTCGTAATAATAATTAATACATTAATATATGTAATTTAACTGGATAATTACGGGCTTTCATTATTCCCCCTTTTGCACTTATTTGCACGCTTGTATATATTATTATGAAGGTTTCTTTGTCCACTTCAATACCAGCCAGATTGAAATATTCATAGCACCGATACCTTACTTAATTAAACAACATTCACACACCCTGCTTTTCTTTACGTATAACGGATAATTAGAGAATATTAGGAACGTATTGGAAGGGTTTTGAGATTTTCCGAATAAATATTTTATAAGGAAATGTCATCAATGTAATACTGGATGAAGTATTTCTCCTGCTTAAAAATAAATGTGTGGTTTTTTAAGAAACTTTGTGGCCATGGTGCGATTATTGGAAAGAACCTCAGCATCTAATGTTTCAGTTGGCAAATTGCTGCTTTTCCATTGCATATGCTTCACCGTGTTCTAAAAAGGGAGTACTTTTTATGCATTGTTGGTTAATTCTTGGTAAGCATTATGAAAGCGAATCGATTATTCTAAACTAAGTAGGTACATGTTACATTTTGTAGGTTTAATGTTATTTTCAACATGGGCTTGGAATGTTATTTGTGCACCAGATGTATTCACATGGAACTTCGCATTTATGCTGTTAAATATGGCGCACGTCTTTCACATTTTGTACCAATTACGACCAGTTAAATTTGATGCAGAACTTGAAGAAGTTTACCATACCTTATTTTCCCCTTTCAAGGTATTTATTTTACTATTTTGTCATCATTTAGTCTTTGCAGTAAATCTGATAATAAAACTGAATTGTAACCCTGAAAAAGTACAAACAACCTGGGCGAAAGATTGGCTATTGCTTTTTAAATAAAATAAATTTAAACCCCAGTATTGCTTTCATTAAAAAGAGTTAAATACAAAATAGGGGAATAAGATTAAATAGTACAGTAAAAGTCCCTACAAGTGCTTAAAGTTGATGCTTCTTGTAGGACACGTATTTTCAATAAAACATAAAAAATGGCCTATAGACTTTAGAACAAAGTTTTATCTATCTTAGTACAAAATTTCAAACCTCTGTTCCAAACATTAAACTCATGATATCTAGAAAAGATAATCTGAATCCCCTTAAAGTATCGGCATCTTTTGAGTACGTACAGTTGGAAGCGGCTTTTATAAAAGGTCTAACCGAATAGAAAAGGATTCGGCATCTTTTGAGTACTGTTCTTGGCGAGGCGAATTTTATAAAAGATGTAACCGAGTGGACTAATCTCAAAATTCAATACAATAAAAAATCACTAAATTTTTTAAACTTTTGCCTAAAGTTGATTATAACGATTAATTTCAATTGCAAATTTATCAATACATTGATTTTATGTTGATACACATTGGTTTTATTTTGGAACCTTAGAACGTATCCCCTATGATTCCATACTAATTACCATTCCATATCCACGGTTTCCGTATTTGCCGCATATTTATGGAACGTATACCCCGCGAATAAAGAGCTTTTACTGTATGTGAAAAATGAATTAAAAGCAAACAAAAGCATTTTTTAAAACTTTACTTCTTTAGTCTGTTAGTTGTGGATATATTTCAACAATGATTCTTTTAGACTGTTCCTATAGAAGTACTTGCTTGGTTTATAGATGAGGAATTTTTGACAGTTATACTGATAATAATATTTATACTATAACAATAAGAGAGACCATTGCGTTTAAAAAAATCTCTGTATAAGAATGTACTACATTTTGATTAATTTGTTTTGAAGGTATCAAGACTTCAGTTCAAACGTATGGTGAGTTCCGAATTTGCTCAAATTATGTCATTGCATGCTGGAGAAGCTTATGCGATGCAGAATTTAACGAGAACTGACCGATTAGGTCTTCTCTTGTCTGGAAAGGTAAAAACCAAGATGTTATTAAATATTTAAACTATCATAGTTGTATTATTGAAAAAACATCATGATAATGTGAAGCACAAAACAAGAATGCTGCGACTGATAATTTATTTAACGACTTGACAATTGTTTTAACCCAGTAGGTCATTTACAACAGTAGGCACAGAAATTATTACATTTTTTTTAGTCTAGAAAATGACCGACTTGGTCATAGCAATTGGCGAGTAGTTAAATAAATTTACCAGTTAAAACATGTTTTCCTTGTGGTTTTCGTGTAAGGTGTCAAATGATGATGATCAATGAAACTATTAAGTTTGCGCATTGGAATACCTAATTATAAAGGTTGCTCAATGATCCAATGATATCATAAAGACACGTTATATTTAAAAGTAAATTTAGTGGTTGACTGGATTATCTTTTGATACATTTTGTTAAGAAACTTCAGAATGGAAGAGCTTTAAGTACTTATTAAATAGATGAATAATTATAATTTGCTAATTATCATTTTCATGCAGTGCAACGTCTTATCGGATAATCAGTTTCTGCACCCCATACTTCCTTGTGAGTTCCTCGATTCGCCTGAATTTGAATCCAGTAGGAATACAGTTGACGACAAATTCAAGGTATGATCAGTTTATTGAAATTAAATTTAGGTTAATTTTAAGATATAATTTCAAGCAGGCAGTTATAAAGCCGATCCTGATCTTTTGCGTACCTAAGCAACCTCTAACTGCTGCACCGCTTACTGTTATTCGGTTATCTTTTTTCACTTTGTACTACTCATGACGCATTTCCTAACTTAACAAGGGCGTGTTCAAAACGCAGCAAATTACTACAGCCCTCAGTGGAAACAAGAAAGAAGAAACATCCATTCTCAAAGATAATTTTTTGCAGACTATGTCAATTCTGATCGTCATAACTGTAGGGTGCCATCTCGGAAAAAGTTCTTACAACCATGTATTTTTGATTTATGCAAATTTGGCTGTTGATCTGCCAGTATATACGAGGGTGGATTGATAAGTTTCCGGCCTAACCAAGAGATGACGCCACTAGGCCTACCTTGAGGTGACATTCTATAGTACCATCCTTGGATAGCTTGTAGCTATAGTTTCAGCCCGATCTCCTTGCTAGTGTAGGTTTGACAGCACGCTGAACAAGACGCCTCTGTGGTTTTCGTAAAAATGGAAAAGCAGGAAAATCGTGCTGTCATCAAATACTTTTATTTGAAGGGGTTAACGCCGAAGGAAATTAAAAAAGAGATGGACTCAACACTGGGGACATCCTCCCCGTCATATTCAACCGTTAAGCAGTGGGTTTCCGAGTTTAAAAAGGGTCGTGTGAGCACCTCTGATGGGCCTCGCTCAGGACGCCCCGTTGAGGTCACAACTCCAGATATGATCGAAAAAATTCATCAAATAGTGCTGGGAGACCGCAGATTGAAAGTGCGTGAGATAGCTGAGACCTGTAAGATGTCATATGAACGTGTGCAACATATTTTGCACCAACATTTGCATATGGAAAAGCTCTGTGCAAGATGGGTGCCGCGTTTGCTAACAGTCGACCAAAAATTGATTCGAAAAAACATTTCTACCGCAAATTTGTCATTGTATAAGCGTAATCCAAGCGAATTTTTGCGTCGATTCGTAACCGTTGACGAAACGTGGGTCCACCACTACACTCCTGAAACCAAAGAACAGTCTAAACAGTGGATTGGACCAGGGGAACCAACTCCAAAGAAGGCAAAAACAATTTTTTCGGCGAACAAGGTTATGGCTACTGTTTTTTGGGATGCAAGAGGTATTATATACATTGATTACCTTGCAAAGGGTAATACTATCACTGGTCAATACTACGCAGACTTATTGCAACGTTTGAGCCACGAGGTGAAAATTAAACGACCTCATCTGGCGAAGAAAAAAATCTTGTTTCATCACGATAACGCACCAGCGCACACGTCAATCGTTGCGACGGCTAAAATCAACGATCTAAAGTTTGAATTGATGCCGCACCCTCCTTACTCTCCAGACCTAGCCCCGAGTGACTATTTTCTGTTCCCTAATCTCAAAAAATGGCTTGGCGGTAAGAGATTTGCGGACAATGAAGAAGTAATCGAAGCTGTAAATGGTTATTTTGAGGAGCTTGACGAATCAGTCTATAGAGATGGCATTAATAGACTCGAACACCGCTATGAGAAATGTATCAGCCTTGGAGGAGATTATGTTGAGAAATAAAAAAAAAAAATTTTTAAAAACCTTGTTTTTCTTGGTCAGGCCGGAAACTTATCAATCCACCCTCGTAGCTTAGGTGCTAATACTTTCCGATATTCTTGTTCTTGCCTGGTAGTGGAAGCCAGACATGCAGAAATTATAACAAATTGTAACGAGTGTTCTGGTATTAGCTTATTTAACTCAGTAATAATACATCAAAAACGTTTATTCCAACAACCGCTTATTTATCTACGTATTTGTATAATTTACTTAATATACATAAATCACTACTGAGATTTTTGGATAATTTTGTGGAATGTTCTTGATTATTTCCGGAATCTTTCAGTAATTTTCTTGTGAACAGTATTAAAAAAAAATGTAGATAGCTTTGTAAATTCCATTCATAGAGATTTGCCATTAATTGTATTAATTATTAAAGATTTTTATGTTATTATCGGCGAACAAATGTTTCTAACTTCTATTTCTGTTGTGGAGTTGAAAAGAGTTACATTTATTTCATAATTATAGTTTGTTCACAATATTTACATATGGAACTGCTATTTGATTTAAATTTAAAGTTTTTACAGACGATTAACACCAATAATTTTATAATAAAGGAAAGATTGGTGAATTATTTATTCTCTAAAACGTTTACGTTTTTCATTCTAATCAGTTACTAATGCTGATAGGCAGAGGGTAGAGTGGAGCCTTCTTACAGGAATGGGGGTGGTGACTGGGAAGAGAAGGATCAAACGGACGAAATGAAGAGGAGAGAAACGTTGGCTAAACTATAAATTTTCATTTTTGGCTACATCTTCTAGTTCAACCATGAAAGGTCCAACTAATTTACACAAAAAGGCTATCAATATAACATCTACAAATTGAATTGACCAAAAAAACCAAACATTATATCAAAAATTCAAAATGTTAAAATGGACTGACATTAGGTATAGCCTTCCTAATCATAAGAAACACTAAAAAAAACTTCTCAAAAATTATTGAATCCATTTAGTGGCAAATCTCTACAGATTTTTCTTATATTTTTTAATTATTGTACTTTATTACTAGGTCTCTATAGTTGCCACTAGCTCTTGCAGATATTTATACTGGCAGCGATCGTCGTTAGAGTATTTGTTTGTGAAAGAACCATACCTGGCCACCGTATTAACTACCCTTATTGCGAGAGATATTACTACAAAGCTTTATGCAATGAACAATAAAATCGTCACCGCGAAGGGCTCCCATTTGGACATCCGTTTGCCTAGTATAACATCATCATTGACTTCAGGTGGTGAATATAAATCGCCAGTAAGAATCAGGAACAAAAATTCGGGTAAGTGAAATTATATTTCAACCAACTGAGTCACTCTCTTGTACAAATAATACTTTTCAGTCGACATAAGACATTTCTGGGAAATGTCAATGAGTGAAAATTATTAAATTCGAACGTTAAGCGATACACTTCTCTCTGTGAGTTTATTTTGCTTGAATTCATGAAATAGCGCACTCGTAGGGTAGAAAAGTTGCAATTTTGCTGATGACATTAAGCTTGCACAAAAAAAAGAAAGTTAGGGCTGTTCTAATTCTAGCTAAGTTAGCGTTGCAAGCACTATTTTGCAGTAAATTTGATAGGATCGCATAGTATAAAAGTTCTATTAGCATAGAAAATACTAGAATAGAAACTCTTACGAGTGAAATTGTTTGAAACTTTTGAATTCATAAACAGGTCCGATACTTACGTTTTTTCAGTAGTTATCTTACAGATTTAGGTTAATTATATTAATCAATGCCTTTTGTTATGTTTATATATTACCGAAAATTAATATAAGCAATATATATGTAGGTATAAATGAAAATAGACGTGAGTGTCCGTGAGAATGTCCTAGAATGTTCATGAATGTTTCTAGCATGATTATGAGCTAGAATGGTACAAATGTACGAAGTTCCAGAGTGGATTGATCCGGAAGAATCGAGAACATTCTGGAATATTCGAGAATTAGTTATTACGTGTGACTGGTGACGATATCTTCTGACAGGACATTGCACATATATATATATTTCGACTATGGTGTTCTAAAGCATGTTTGGAAATTTCTATGACGTTCGAAATTTCTTCAGTTCCGTGTGTGTGGGCTCCTAGGTCGACCACCGACCACCGACCACCAAACACTCGCTCAGATTTATTATAAATTATAAATAAATATAAATTATCCTCAAGTAGAAAATTCCGAAGTGGATTTGTCCAGAAGAATTGAGAACTTTCTCGAATATTCGACAATCGTTATGTGCGAGTGGTGGGGATACCTTGTTATGTTAATACATTTTGTTCATATTTTGATCAAGATACTCTAAATCTAAAATATGTTTACAATTTCCTAGTGTTCAAGATTTGTCAAGTTTGGTGAGTGTGTGTGTGGTTTGTGATTCCACCGTCGATCACACAAACACCTGTTAAGAATCAGTGAGAATATATTAGTATGTTAGTGAATGTTGTAAGCGTGGTTGTCAGCTAAGATCTTTTCGAATCTTTAGGATTGTACACAAGTAGAAGGTTTTAGAGGAAACTGATTCGAAAAAATTGAAAAATCGGAAATATTCGATGACCATTATGTGTGAGTGGGGGAACTGGTTTGTGAGAGTACCTACTATAGAGCATTTTCATGTCGACTATTATCAAATTATAATAAAATACGTTTATAATCTCCTACAATGATCGAGATTTCTTCAATCTGGTGTTTGTTTAGGTATGCAAGTTGACTACTAACCACCCGCTTTGTAGAATACGTGAGAATCTAAATTCAGCGAAGCGAGTTGCTGTCAGCAAGTCTAGAAATACGAATTACAGAAAGTATATAAGATTTTATACCTTCGCCGTATCTTAGTAAAATTGGTATCATCATGGAGTACAAAAACAGACTAGACACGCATCTCCACTCATTTCTATTCTCAAATTTTCGCATTTTCTTAAAATAAGAACATTCCACATCCTTAAGTGTGCATAAACCAGGTTAACTTCTGTTTTAATGCTGTTGTTGCTTCTAGTATGTCCCAAACTAGCCCTTCATGTCTTAGTCTATCTTCTTATTTGTTGATTTTTGACCTTCATAGTGCATAATAGTAATTATAATAATAATAACAAATAAGCGCATCAAAAATTAGAATTTTACGTGTTGTAATCTTACTCAAATTCTGCGAAATGTGTCTCAGTTATTAAAAAAACTGTCTACTTTTTAAGAATATTGTTTTCGGAAATCATCCAACAGGAGCTTTTTCTATAATTGTTGCAGGTATGATTTTTTAATAAGATAAAACATGTAGCTAAGGTATGTACTTTTCCAAAAAACAATCAACAACCCTTCAAGAAAGTTTTGAACAGGGGTATTGGTGATATTCACTTTTGCCTTATTTCAAGAAAATTAATGTTTATATCAGAAATAGTAGTGCTTTCATATACATATCCATGTACCGAAGATTAAAATCGTACGAAGCGTTATTGAATAATTGAAGAAAAACGATTTTTTTGGTACCTTTGGCGCTCTTTAACGAATCATCGTCATCATAAGGTCGACAGTACTAAAACTGGTTGGACACGCACCTCCACTCTTTCCTATCCTCAACTAATCTTTGCATTTCCCTAAAACTAGAACAACCCACATCCTTAACTATTTGTGAACAGTAATCTTATCTAGGTCTATCTCTTCCCCTCCTAACTTTCGTTTCTGCCTCTAATATGTCTCCGACTAGACCATCGTGCCTGAGAAGGTGTCCTACTAACCTATCTCGCCTATTTTTTATTGACTTCCATAGAGTCCTCTGTTCTCTTACTCTTTTTTCTAATACCTCCTCATTTCTAACCTTCTCTATCCACGGTTCCTCATCATTCGCCTGTAACACCACATTTCGAACGCTTCTAACCTTTTGTTTTCCGCCGCGCCCACTGTCCATCTTTCGCACCCGTACAGCGCCGTGCTCCAAGCATACACCTTTAACAATATTTTTCGAATTTCTAAATAAACCGTTCGCGAGCGTAGAAGTGACTTCTTTTTATTGAAGGCGACTCGACCCTGCGGTATCCTCTTATTATGAGACAGTCTGTAGTTATAAATGTCGATAACTTCAAAATTTCATATTAAAATACCAAAAACTCATTCCCAGAGGTTGACACCTAGTGTATCGATACGAATCGTTACTTAAAGGTGTGAACGTTTTATTTATATTAGTTCCACACAAGTCCGTTTGATTTTTTTGTACTGTAAAGAATTAACAATTGTGCTGGTTGTGTCAAAGACATTTAATGCATTCACTAATTTGCTTTTAAGATTAGAGCCCAACGTGAAAAGTCGTTTTCTTAATTATTTTATGTCGTGCTGTTTTATTTATCTCAAGCATATTTATCGTTTCATTTGTCACATAAACACGAATATATGATACGTACACTTAACATTACATAGTTGCATGTAATGCCTGATAATGAAATGCTTTCTAACTCACAAGAATGCTACACTTGATTTCACAATTACACCCTTACATTAAATCAGTAAGTCGTAGTTTTTTAAATTGAGGCTCCAACAATCTAATTTGCCATTTGCTTCAGAAACTTAGCATTATTTAGTGCTCCCATTCATATCAAGTACTTGTTAGAGCTAATCTGTGACAAATTCGTACTTATCATATTGTTAAAATTAAAAAATTAAATTACTATTTGTTATCAGACAATAATTAATTGTTTTTATTCAATTTTATGCGAAATAACGAATGTGTTGTTTTCACAGAACACAGTATCTTAACATAATTTGAATATTAATAATAGGTAAAGTATGTAGGGCTGCTGCAAGACAAGACATACCATATTGTTTGGAAAAAGGTCTTATTATCGATGCTGTGTTTTCTTCCGGGCTTTTTTGGTCGTGGTCCGTGTAATCTTGCTTTTCCAAACGTTTCGCCGTTCTTTGCTGACGGCATTTTCAGTGGTCACTCGACAGGTGCTGAGTCGTAATTGATGCAGTTTGAAAAAAAAAATTTTTGGGTGTTTCATTCCCACCAGACAGTAGTGCTGGTGGCCGGGCAGTCCCTCCGGACTATGCCGGAAGGTAGGGCGGAAGGCCCTCTTCAGCCTCCTTTCAGGAATCGTGGGAATGGGTGGGTGGTGGCTCGGGTGAAAAAGATGAGACGGAAGAGAATGAAAGATTATCTGTGGAATATTACTGCCCCAGCATTTGCCTAAGTGATCCAAGGAAACCACAGAAAAACATGGACCAAGGCAAACGGACCCGGAATCGAACTGGCGTCCTCCCGAATGCTAAGCAATGGTCTAAACCGTTAGGCCATTCCGCTCGGTATGCAGTTTGAGAACGGGTTATCCTTCTTATACTGTACTCGTTACGGTAAGTGGTTTTATGGTTCAGGGTAAGCCGTTCTCAAACTGCATCAGTTACGACTCAGCACCTGCCCAGTCACCACTAAAGATGCCGTCAGCGAAACGTTTGGAAAAGCAAGATTCCACAAACTACGTCCAAAAAGCCCGGAAGAAGACACAACAAAGATAAACGCCGGCCGTGAAAGCCTAAGAACTACAGGTCTTATTATATTTGAATCTTGTTTTGTTCTCGTATTATTTTTGTAAACGTGGTTTTGGTATTATTTTGTTTTATTTTTAGTCTTGTCTCAAGACCTTGATTTTGTTGTTGTATACCTAATGTATCAATACTTTTAAAACTATAGGTAGGTTTTGAAAATACTTTGTTTGTTGATGTTTTTTCGAAAAAAATGCACCATTTCGAGTTACTAGTGATTTTACGTCTAAAAATAGTTAAACGTCGACAACTGCACAAATTCGTAAGTCAGCTTCTACTGAATCGTTTTTTAGTGGTGAAGGCGACCACCATGAATTTCTTGCGAGGCCTTCAGAAAAGCTGGTCTTTGTATTAATTGATATTTAATGTTCTGGAATCCTGCAGTTCTGATGGTACTTTATTACCTTAAATTTAAGTTATTTGGAATTGATAAGACAACCTAAAAACTGTAATAATTTCACAAAAGTCACATTTATCTATCCAGTTAATAAATGTGGTCTCTATTGGTAAAAAAAGGTTTTTGCCTTCGACGTGAATTTTTTCTCCGAAACATCGTTATTACGTTAAAGTACAAGTACTGACAATTATTTTAGCAGGAATAAAAATGTGTGAATTAACAATGGAACAATTTCCTAAAACATTTCTTGTAATAATTCTGTTCCTGAATTATTGTGTATGCCCAAAGGTCAAACGTCCAAATTCAGACAGCTTTATTTTAAATAAGTTACATAATTTAAAATAACTTCATGTATGAATAACTATTTATTTTGAAAATAGTGCGAGTACCTGAATATTGGATAAGTCATAAATGTTGAATAATTAAAATGATGTTTTCCACTGTTGGATTAAAACATGGAGTGATACAGGCGGTTTATAAGTCAGTATCTTATTGGTTTATAATTATATTCCACATCAAATAATATCAAATGTCTCCGTGGATTCACCTTTTCAGTCCAAGTTTTTCAAGTTATTGGACGAAACTTAGTACCCTACATTTGGCAAAACATTGTTTACACTCAATTAACATCAAAAAGGACATTGTCTTGCGAATTTGGTATTGATGTGAGATATCATTTGAAACCAGTGAGTGAGTTATTCAACTTTTAAGTCACTCATTTACTTTATCCACATCCTCTGAGGTACCTAAACAGATTATGAGTATGTCACAGTAAAAACTACCTATGACTACCAAATTTAAAAACAGTACCTTGAGAACAACCTTTTTGGCTTTTTAAGAAGTTTAATTTGATAATAACACCGATAATAATGTGTAAAATGCAAAATACTGTGAATAGTGAAATCCTTTGTAAATCTTTTGAAAAAAATAATTCAGAAACAAAACAAGTATCTTTCAGAGTTCTTACGTTAAGTATTAAATGAATTTTCTTACAAAATACGAGTCTGAAACAGTAAGTCGTCGATCAAATTTAGTTTTAACCACAATTTGTGCAAAAAAATTAAAAACTGTTTCTTTTGTTTCTATAAAATAATAAAATTCAAAGAATCTATGTGATTGTTATATATATGTGTATGTATAAATGATTAATAATTGTTATTTTTGTGACAAAAGAAATTCCAATTATGAGATGAAACTCTATCGTCGATATAAAAACCACGTCATTTACTTGAGCAATTTTCTCGAGCTTCTTATAGCGTTTGCAGCAGTTTAGGAGAATAAAGGTTCGTGGAAACTTAATGGCAATTATCTTCTTAGGTCCCATGTCTCCAGATTCCTTTCTCAGCGACAGGAGTCGCGACAAGTACAAAGACAACAACGACTATTCATCCCCCAACGGGCGTGCAAGCGAAATGGAGCCATTAACTGAGTTGCCCTCGAACGACGACTTGACATCGAACGATGTAGAAAGTTGGCTTGAGAACAGCTCAAAGTATCACAGTTGCGAGATAGTAGATTCCTATTGAGATTCCGGATAAGTATAAATTGGGACAATACGCCGGATATCTCTGCCTTAAAAACGTAGATTTGGTTGAATGATGGATGAGTATTAGGGGTCGAATGCGGAAATGCATGCAAATAAAAATCGATNTTGTAAAGGATTAGTTGCGATCAATGACCAAAATAAAAAACCAGCAACTAGAAAAAAATTAAAGTAAAATTGGTGAACTGTGTACATTATATGTGCTTAGTCTCCCTCTCACCTCTTGCGACTTTGCCATATTTTTTATAGCTAATATCTTTTATGAATTGTAAATGTAAGCGTATTTTTTTTTCAAATATCGCAATCGGTTGTTGTTTACTCCATGATACTATAATGCTCGTGGGTTTAACAAAATTAACTTCTACGACAAAAACTATTTATTTACACTAATTATTGAAGAACTTAAATACACTATTAAATTATTACTAAACTTAATTTATGAATGAATTTACTGTTCAAATAAAAAATAATTATATCTAACGATGTCTAATAAAGATTATACCATAAATACTTTTATCCTTTTTGCTTAATCCTTTTAGCGACGTTGTAACTACATATTCATTTGTTTGAAGATTGCTAGTTTTATTTAGATTATCTTTGAGCTATTTATCTAGGATGAATAATTACCAGGATGGAAAGTATAAACATAGATCAAAATAGGTCAAAATACATTGTTTTCGACATTTTCAAGACAAGGTAAAAAAAGAAAATGAAAAGCTCATAAAAATGTTAAAAAAAATAATAAGTGCAGTTTTATGGCTTTGTTTGCGGAATGTTGTAATTGGTGCCTTATAGGTATCTACATATCTACGCAAAGAATTGAAAATTCAGAAAGAGATTGGTATTATTATTTTTTTATCCTTTTGAAGAGCACTTAACAGGTAGAAACAATATTGCACAGATTACTATTAAAAATAAATTATTAAAGTATTTGTCCTTCTTCACATTTATTTGAGAAAGCGAGTGACTCGACAATCGACCATTTGGACGTTCAGCAGCGAATAGTGATAACCGAGTACCCGGCAAAAGCACTATGGTTACTCCTCTCAAACGTCCCAAATCACATTAAGTCCCGTTCAAAAAATCGTTTAAACACGAAACCAATGACATGTTACTTCTTGGTTGGCGGATTTTTAACAACAGAATTAGAAGCGTTGAAACGGGCCTACAATATTTATAAACACTAAGAGCCTTTTCACACGAACCACATTTTGCAGCGCTTCGATATAGTAACGTATATCTATTTCAAATTTAAAGAAGCAGTTACTACAATAAAGTCGCAGAAGAATGACGAAGAGAAGCTTATTTTATTAGCGCTTCGGATAAATTAAAAAAAAATACGTATAATTATACAACACACTACTGAAGTAAAACTTCTTCAAACACACAAACATACCGGGATAGGGGTTAAGGAATTGGTTTAATGGTATTATCGGAGTTGTCTGTAACGAACGTTGCATTGAAGCGCGCTCACGGCTCAAGCGATCACCATTACGAACTCGACCACGTGACCGAGTAGAGGGGGGACATCCGTTGCATGATTTCGTTACATAGCAACTCGCATGAAACGAACTTACCCTATCGTTCGTAAAGAAGTTTCACTTCAAAAAGAAGGAATAAGAATATAAAGAATCGGAAACACTGGATCGATTCTTACAATAGGAATCGATCGATAAATGGATTTCTATAGATCTTTCCAAGATTTACGTCGAAATGAAAAAAGTTTGTTAGTCATTCCTTCTTCCCATGCTCCTCCTTATATAGTTTGCACTGCAGCTATTCCAAATGCGGTCTTTGATATTATGTAATTTTCGACGTCGACAATGTCAATTAATGAATGGTCTGTCACACTATTAAAAAACTAAAAATACACGAGTGTGGAAAAGCTCGAAAAGGCTGCGAGGTGACAAAATTATTCTTAATCAAAACCTGATATATCAATAAGCGACAGATATTGTAACAGTTCAGCCATATTAATGTATTTTTATTCACAAGATAAAGTAAACACAAGAACTACATATATGGAAATAACAAATAATTTAGCATAGCAATCAATAAACAATGCAAAGTAGGATAAACGGCCGATCTCAATACAATTTTAATTACCAATTATTATTAAGTAGGTTTTTTGTTCGGTATTAAATTATTATTGTTGGTATTGAGTTTTTCTTTTTTTTTCCCGATAGAATTACCTGGCACTGCCGAGTACTTGACATCATTGTCTGGTACACGGCCGGATCTTAAAAAAAGTGGTGGATCCGCCGGGTATTAGATTCAAGCCAGATAGTCGGCCTATTTCTACTTTCTTCCTTTTGAATTTATAAATTTTTTACTAATTCCAATTTTTTAATATTACTCGTCTGTTGAAGGTTAGGTTATAGTTAGTTTCAATTGCTGTAATTCTCTAGAATTAAATCGAAAAATAATATAATATAATTTTGAATAATTAAA